AGATTTCAGTTGACTTCTATGATTCGAGGCGCGAGGATAGTGTTTAATGACTAAATGGTGTGGATATTGGATACTACGAGTTAAATGTATTTTAAACGTTTCTGTTTCATTGCGAGTCGAGACGATTAAGTGGACCTTTACGAAAATGATTGAAACAACAACATCCAAAACAACGGAAATCAATCATGTCGYTTTCGAAATGATAAAATTATATCTGGGACGAAGGGGGAAAAATGAAAAATAAAAATAATTCTGACGGCTGTAGATTTATGAGGAAACACGTAGTGTAGTGCAGAGTGATAAAACTGTTTGACTGGAACGGTATCAAGCAGATGGCTAGATCGTTTCATATATTTTTTTCTTCACTTTTCTCTTCTTACTTGTGGCACTACATCACCGGCATTTACCCACTTGTGATTGATGACTTGCGGTTTTTGCGAAAATATTATTCGTTTTAAAAGTAAAATATATTCATTCGTGCTCGCTGACAGCTCTGAGTGTATACGTGYTCAAAGACAAGGCTTATCGTTTCTCCTGTTCATACGTGCGCGGACAGCCCAATGATAATACTACCTATGTGTGTAACAGTGAGTGCGAAATTGAAATCTACTTAGTTTGTCGGAGAAAAAGTGGAAACGAAAAGTTGTTCAGAGTTCTATTTTTACGTATAGATAATATCTATATGCCTATCTATATACGACTATAAATCAATAAATTAAAATTTATGGTTGTTGTTATTATTATAACTTTGATTTTTGTTTGAAGTTTGTCATTGTTTTAATTCCAACGCACGGCTTTTGTTGAAATAAATCACCATAATCAAATAACCCCATGCTATTGTCGTCAGAAAACACCTACATAATAATATATTATTAAACATTTCCACGTATTGGAATTATTAATTTTTACTTATTTAATTATGAGAAAGATTTAAAGTAGGTAACTGTATCAGTTTTAGTAAAGCTATAATTTTCGTAATTTTTCATAAATGTTATTCGATTTTTTCATATTTATTGCACGGGATCGGATGATGCTATAATAATTTTTTGATTGAAACCTTTAGATAGGTATAATAATTCTATTTTAATGTTTTTCGGTTAACTGTTATTTGTAAGTCAATATTTTGATCTATAACATAATATAGAGTATAGACCATGTAAAAATAACTCGTAAGAATTTATTATATTATTGCTATTTTGTTATTACAGTAATAGAAGTATAAATAGTTATGAGTTTATGACTTACGAGTTACGTATTATTGTCAAAATATAAAATCAAACTTATGTAAAAAAAA